TCTAGTCCAGTGGGTTCAGTTATGGCGCCAGGATCTGCCCGACAGGGGAAACTAACCGGTCCGACATGGGAGGGGAGGGGTAGGCAAGCAAAGCGAGCCTCACTTGGGAGTACATGTCCTAGGGCCCCGGTGGGGATCCAGGGGGATCTAAACTCTAAAAATCTTTACATAAAGCACATACAAAATAAATAATGATTCTACAGATCAGCAATAAAATATTGGAATTAAAATAATTACAGTTAAAACAATTTTACAGTGAACGAAGTCTAGGCCTATGTATTTCAATTGATAAGGCACTAAATGTTTAGCAGTGCCTAGGCTTACTGATATGTTTATTGTTTGAATGTTTACATGGTGAAGTATATCTAGTGCTTGCGGTACACCCACAGTAATATGTTTATTATTATCACATTGTTGAAGACTAGCAAAATTATGGAATCATGAAAATTTGGTCTAAAAATTGACCATGTGGACACTATTGAGTTGGCGGACCCCCAATTATTTTTTGCGGACCCCAGGTTGAGAACCACTCATGCTAGTCCAGTAGCGTATCTAGGGCGGTGTGCAGGGGGTGCATGCTTCCAAAAATTACCATAGGCCCCTCGCGCCCCTCCCCAGTCTCCCCACCCCCAAAAAAATCACAGTAAAGTAGTTAAAAATCACCTAAAATCACCTTATTTTCCGAATTAGCGCCCCTCAACTGATCATCGAGCCCCCACCCCACTTCACCTTCGCTACCCCCAGCAGCACCCCATTTCAGGACTTCTAGATACCGTACGCCACTGTGCTATAGCGTCTATAGGTAACTGCAGGTAAATTGCCTTGTCCACAAGGACATAGGGGTTTCAAAGGCTTATTTAATAGATTTTAGAGACTTGTATGTAAAAAATACATATATTTTTTTCTCGTGACTAACTGTTATTTCACCCACAGGGGCGGCAAGCTCTCCCCGACGGGGCTACATCCCCCTTCCCCTCCCTACACGCCCCCTACACTGGCGCCACCAGGGAAGTGTCATAAGTTTCCTCACTCAAAACTAAAAGCTACCACTCAATTGGAAGTTCGCCCAGATGAAGGCCGCATAGGCCTAATATGCACCATTTGTGAAGCTGCCTATAACTCTAATGAACTTTAGACTTCTTTAGTTCAACAAACTCCAATGAGTGCAACCGATGCCTAGCAAAACTAAATAATTTATCAATTTGCGGAAACGAATGATAATGGTTAGTAGGCCCTACTGATGATACTTCCCTATAGTATCAGATTATTGGTTCGTTGATCTCTATATATTGTATTGGAAAAGATTAAATGATTAAGGGTCATTGGTGCTGGAATCGATCTCACCCATTCGTATCATCATTCGTAGTCAGTATTTTGAATAAACTATATTAAAGTATATTCAAACCTAGCCCAAAGACATGATAGGCCTACAGTCCATGTAAAAAACAAAAATTAATTTTTAAAGGAGGGTAGCAGTCTTCAAGATAGTATAGAGGCAAAATCCATAAAACTTGTTGAAATATTATGATAATGTATCCAATAAAAACAGCGTCGAAAAATATAACAAAAAAAAAATGGATAATAAATTACTCTGTTATAATATAAAGCCCTAATACAGTATGCAAGTGTGTAGCATCACATTAAGTTGAACTGGGGAACACTCGGAACGTCTTGCAATTATGTAAAAAGAAATCAAAATGCAATTCGTTTTTACTCATTCGATAGATTTTTCCCCAATCCAGCGCACGAAACAGGCACACTAATACTCAACTGAAATTTGTTTGAACGAGAAAGGAGTAAGTTAAAGACGCATTGTGACATGAAAAATACCCACAAAAATATAAAAAACTTTTTGAAGTACAGTACAGTAAAATAAACATTTTCGACTTTAATTTAGTGTATTAAAAAAAACGTTTACCCATAATTTTATAAAGAAAAATGATAGAAACATTACTTCCAGTCATTTTTTATCATTATCATCAAGATACACATTTTTTAAAAATAATTTCTATGCTAATGTGTAAGTTACTGCAAAGATGAGCAAGTTTTTAATGAAGTTTTGTCATTTTCAGAGACATTGTATTTTCAATGAAACTTTTTGATTATTAACCAAAAGGAGTAAGTTAAAGACTCATTGTGACATGAAAAATACCCCCAAAAATATATTTTTTTTAAATCTGTTAAAGTAAAATAAATATTATCAACTTATAAATTTAATTTACCCATAATTTTACATCGAAAAATGATGGAAACATTACTTCCAGTCATTTTTTCTCATCAAGGTAAACATTTTTCAAATTTAATAAATTCTATGCTCTGTTAGATATTAAGTACTGCAAAATGAACAAGTTAAATTTCAATTTTTAAATAAATTTTTGTCATTGTCAGGGACAATACATTTTAATGAAAACACGACCAGTGTAAACATAATTAAAATATATTGAAATATGTATAATCGATGTGTGTTTTATATTATTGTGTATTTTTGGTTAAGATTTTTGTGGGGTTTTTTTTTGTGTGTGTGTGTTTTTTTTGTGTGGTTTTGTTTTTTTCTTTTTTTTCTTTTTTTAATGAAAGCTCTTTTCTTCCTTTAGTGTCCTATTTTACAGGAACTTCTGGACTAAGCATCTCAGTAAGTATGACGGCGCCACCAGGCGACGATATACTCTTTGGTCAAAGGTCAAAGCAGTCAGAGCCTTAGCGACCATTGACAACCAAAAATAAATCATGGCAGAGGAGGGAGAGAGCACTACTATTCAGGAAAAAACAACAAGACGACGAATATTTGTAAACCATGTTGATAGTTATGAGGGAGGAGTAATATCAAAGGTACCATATACCTGTTTTTGTAACCATGATATTAAAGGAAAATATAAAGCCAGCCAATGCTGCTAGGCTAGGCTAGCTAGCCTAGAGCCTTTTTTTTGTTGGAAGGAGAGGAGGAGGAGGCTGCTGCTTCTGCTAGCTAGGCCTAGGTTAGAGACTACCCAGCCTAGGATTAGGCTAGCCAAAAAAGCCTATAGGGGGCCTAAATTAGGTGTAATAGAAGCAACTATAATCGTTGGTATTATTTTTTAGTTTCAGGAGACAGCATGTCATTTTTGGGATAGATTCCTGATTCTGATACTGTTAGTGATTGAATCGGGAGAGTTAAAAGTCTTCACTTATGTTAGAGAGAGTTACTGTACTGTACGTTATCTCATTAATATGATAGAAAAGAAGGTTAGAGTTGGCAACATCTAGGAATAGGCCTGATAATTACCAAGATAGTGTACATTACCGTATTCCTAGCCACGACCATAATATTTTATCCCAGTTTAATTGTAATTGTGTACTTAATCTCAATGTTTAAAACTCAGGACTAGATAACTTGTGTAAATAATCATTTAATTTATTTTCTTTACAGTACCTCTCAAGTTGCATCGTCAATGCTTCCATAGAAGAAATAGAGGAGGAAGAAGATGTAGAATCCGTAAAGAGTGATGGTATGAACACAAAGGAAGGTACATATGAGATTGTCGGTACCTTGAAGAAACAGGATGGAGATAAACCAGACTGGGTGACAGAAATCTTCAATGTAAGCTAAAAGGATGTGTCTAAGTACAGTATCGTACGCTATCTCGGTAATGATAAAGAAAATTAGGGTTAGTATTGTTCGATTGTGTAATTTTTTCTGATGTTTCTTTTTAGTTTGGAGACAAGAAACAGATGTTGGAACATATGTCTGAATGTGACATCGTCATTTACGATATCAATGAAGACCAGGGTCAAATTGATGAAGCAACATGGGCTGTGTCAGGTACAGTTTCTTTCAAAGTCTCAAATAATTGTTTAGGTTTTCCACAATTTTCCAGATAGGATTGTTACGTATAATTCATAGTCATCGGCTGTGGATGAGCTGACGTGGGATATGAATTCCCCAGCCCATTGGAAAGCCCCAGGGGGCATGGAAAGACTATCTGTCATGATCACTCTTGAAGACTCACAGTAGTAGTTTAAATTTTTAGCTCTCAAAGAAGATATAAGAAACTTATCACAGCCACTGTCCTTGTCGACTAGATGACGCTTTGTTGACCGCATAACATGAAGTTGACCCTTAGAGAAGGTTGTAAGAATGAGTAGTCCACACACATCTTGGGTCGAAGCCTTCAAATATGAAGTTGGCCCTCGATCATAGAAGAAGAAAAAGAAGACAAAGTACTATACTTTACAGCATTGTTTTAGCATGCTGGTATCTACTTACAGTATGGTCTGTTTTAGTATTTAATCAGTATTTGACAGGGGCGGATCCAGAAATGTCCGAAAGGGGGGTCGAAAGTGGGGTTGATCAAGACAATACTACCCCAGGGGGCATTCCCCCACACAATTTTTTTGTTTTTTATAGACGCCCACAATTAACCTCTGAGGCATTTTGGGCGATCAATTATTCTTTTTCTTTTTTTTCCTTTTTTTTTTTCCTCTTCTACTTTCCAAATGGAGTGGTAGCTGCAACACCCCTTCCCCTCCCCCCAAAATCTGCCCTG